AAAAAAAAAAAAAAAACAGAACCGGAAATAACTAGCTTTTCGCCAGACAGTGCTGCGTACGTTGCCCAGTTTCTTTTCCCCCCTCTCCGAACCATTCTGCTCCATGCTTGCCGCCTCTCGCCTCTACATTAAGAACTTCGCTCTTCTGGCCCGGGGCCCAGGCGCCAGACCCGCCAAGCCCAGGCTCTTCTCTTCACAGGCAATGCCCAAAAAACCCACGGGCATCAAGGCCTTGGTGAAAGAATACGGCTACTCTGCCTTGGGCGTATACCTCACGCTCAGTGCGTTGGACTTGCCCGTGTGTTATTTGCTCGTGCACTCCATGGGCAAGGAGGAGATCGAACGGTACGAAAACCAGGTGAAGCAGTATTTCGGGTTCGGCAAGCTGGACGCTGAGCTCCGGGAGATCCAGCAGATCAACAAGTTGGAGGAGGAGCACCAGGACAAGATCTCCGCCGCGTCCGAGAAGATGCCCATGTTCTCGTGGTTCTCGTGGACAGAGTTTGCCATTGCGTACGGGATCCACAAGTCGGTGTTCATTTTTGTGCGGTTGCCCTTGACCGCTGCGTTCACGCCCACCATTGTGAGGGGCTTGCGGAGCTGGGGCTTCAAGATCGGAACAGATAGGCTCGCCACCACGGCCAGCTTGGCCAAGAACACCATCACCAACACGGCGGCGAGCCCCCGGCTCGGCACCAGGCCAACGAAGAAGAACAAGTGGTTTTGGTTCTTTTAGGCCGGGGCCGGGGCTTCCCCTGCTGGGTCTGGAGCCGACGCTTGGTTTATGTTCTGGGCTTATGTTCTGGAGGCGATGTCTCTGGCGATGCTTTCTGATCATTGAATCTGGTCATGTTTTCTGATCATTGATTGTGGTCATGCTTCCTGATCTACTGATTCTGGTTCATGCTTTCTAGTCTATTGATTTTGGATGCTTCCTGATCTATTGTTCTGGATGTTTCCTGATAATTTATTCTGGTCATGCTTTCTCATCTATTGATTCTGGATGCTTCCTGATCTATTGTTTTGGAAGCTCCTGATCATTGATTCTGGATGCTTCCTGAGCATTGATTCTGGATGCTTCCTGAGCATTGATTCTGGATGCACCCTGATCATTGATTCTGGCCATGCTTCCTGATCTACTGCTCCAGGTCATGCTCGCGGAGTCTATGCTTCCGGAGTTTCGCTCGGGACCCGACGCCGCGCCCAGGCGGGCCGTCGCCCAGGCGCCGCTCGAGGCAGGCGGCGAGCCCGCCCCAGGGCCGCTTATAGAACGCCGCACGGCCCCACTGTATATACACATCGCCACGGCCAAGCCGCGCGCTAGATGCCGAGGAGCAGCTTTGCCCGCTCGTACACGTAGAACGCGCACGCGGTCATCGGGATCACCTTGATGTAGCCGATGGACAAGCCCACGAAGAAGCCGCGCACGCCGTTCTCCGCGAAGATCAAGCGCGTCGTCGTGCGGAACGTCATGAAGCGGCCCAGGTCCACGGCGCCGCCCACCTGCATGCGGCGCCGGATCACCTCGAACGGGTAGGCGGCCGTCTGCGCAAACATGCCCGCAAAGCCGCCCGCCGCGAGCTGCGCGTACGCCTTGAGCGGCACGCGCGAGTCACGGCTGCTCACGTGCTGCTGGCGGTCCTTGACCTTGACCACGCGGGGCCCGCTCGGCGGGGCCGCGGGCCGCAGCACCAAGTACGCGGCCAAGAGGCCCAGGCGGAAGAGGTCATGGATCGCGTCGTGCACGTAGAACGACACGCCCGCGTACGGCACCATGCCGAGGATCGTGGGCCCGAAGCCGCGGTAGAAGTTGGAGAGCGGCACGAGCGCCGGCGGCACCTTCTGCCGCGTGAGCCGGAGCCACCGCGGGTCCAGCGGCCGGCGCGGCGGGTGCTCGGCGTACACGGCGCGGACGATCGCCCACAAGCTGCGGCGCCGCGCCGGGCCCGGCGCCATGGGCGTGGTGTCGAAGGCCATGCGCACGCGCACGAGGTCGAGCGGGTACGTGAGGAACACGGACGCCAAGCCCAGGAGCAGGCCGGCCATGAAGCGGCGCGCCGCGGTCTCGTGGCGGTCGTTGGGGATCAACATGCTGCGGATCTGCTCGTACGCCACGAACTTGATGGCCGCGTACGGGAACACGCGGAGGAGCGTGACCAGGTGCCCGTGGAACAAGCCCGCGGGGCCCTCGGCCGCGCAGATGCGGTTGCCCGCCAAGAGCAACCCGCCGAGCAGCCCGCGGAACTGCACGAACTCCGGGCTGGACGTCTGGAACAAGATCTTGATGCGGTCCAACGGCGCGATGAGCGTCTTGGCCGCGCTTCCGGAAAGCCCGCCGGCCACGCCGGACCGCACCACGTACTCCACGGAGTGTTTGTCGATGACCTTGGCGTCGGGCGGGGCCGGCGCGGCGCTGCTGGGACGGGGCCCGGGGACGGCCGCCGATATACTGGGCGGCTCCTGCGGCATGCCACGCGCTGTGATTGGCGGGTGGGGTCTGGGCGAAAATCGGCGCTGGGTTCGAGGGGCGCAGGGAGGGGCGCCGGGGCCGCGGGGCGCTGGTCGATGAGGAGAGCGGCGTCGTGTGCGGACGCGGGGAGAGGGCTGGATGAGGAGCAGGCGTGGGTTTGGAGGGCGGAGCGAGGTTGGGCTCGCGGGCGCCGGGCCAGCGCGGCGTGTGCAGGAAAACATGGGGTCCGGTGCTGGGGGCCATGGTTGGTGGGATGGGGGATTGATGGTAGTTGGTGGTGATTGGTGGGATTGATCGTAGTTGGTGGGATTGTTGGTATTTGGTGGTAGTGGATGGTGGTTGGTGGGATTGATCGTAGTTAATAGTAATTGATGGTAATTGATGGGATGGTGGGGAATGTAATTGGTGGGATGGTGGAAATTGATGGCATTTGGTGGGATTGTTGGTATTTGGTGGTAGTTGGTGGTGATTGGTGGGATTGATCGTAGTTGGTGGGATTGTTGGTATTTGGTGGTAGTTGATGGTAATTGGTGGGTTTGATGGTATTTCGTGGGATTGTTGGTATTTGGTGGTAGTTGATGGTGGTTGGTGGGATTGATCGTAGTTAATAGTAATTGATGGTAATTGATGGTAGTTGGTGGGATTGTTGGTATTTGGTGGTAGTTGATGGTAATTGGTGGGTTTGATCGTAGTTAATAGTAATTGATGGTAATTGATGGGATGGTGGGGAAGGTAATTGGTGGGATGGTGGAAATTGATGGCATTTGGTGGGATTGTTGGTATTTGGTGGTAGTTGATGGTAATTGGTGGGATTGGTGGGATTGATGGTAATTAATGTTTGTTGATGGTAGTTGATGGTAATTGGTGGTTGGTGGGATTGATCTTAGTTGATGGTAATTGTTGGTGGTTGATGGTAGTTGGTGCTGATTGGTGGTAGTTGGTGCTGATTGGTGGGATTGATCGTAGTTAATAGTAATTGATGGTAATTGATGGGATGGTGGGGGATGGTGGGGAAGGTAATTGGTGGGATGGTGGGATTGATGGGATTGGTGGAAATTGATGGTAGTTGGTGGAAATTGATCGTAATTGGTGGTTGGTGTTAATTGATGGTAGTTGGTGGGATTAGTGGGATTGATGGTAATTGATGAAATTGATGGTAATTGATGGGATTGATGGTATTTGATTGTGGTTAATGGTAGTTGATGGTAGTTGATGGTAATTGGTGGGATTGATGGTAATTGATAAGATTGATGGTAGTTGGTGGGATTAGTGGTAATTGATGGCATTTATGGGAGGGATGGTAGTGTCTCGTAGATCTCAGGGCTGTGGTTTCCATGGAAATTGGTTTGGTAGTGATCATGGTAGTTGTCATGGTCATGTCTCATGGAGGTAACTCATGGTAGTATCTCATGATAAGTGTGATTGTAATGCTGGTGGTAGTATCTCATGGGAGTGTGTCATGACAGTGGTCATGGCAGTGGTCATGGTAGTATCTCAGCAATAATTCATCGTAGTATCGCATAGTAGTATCTCATGGTAATATCCCAAGAATAGCATGACAATTCTCATGATATCATCCCATTGCAGTTTGTCATGGTAATATCTCATGGTAATATCACATAATTATCATGGCGGTGCTCATGGTGGTACTCGTTGCATTATTCCATGAATATCATGGCAAGTCTCATGATATCATCTCATGGTGATATCTCACGGCAATATCTCATGGGACGGTTATATATTTCTCATGGTAGTATGTCTTGGTAATAATTTTTGGAAACACGTTATGGTAGTATCGCCTGGTAGAATGGATGGATTTGATGGTGTTTGATTGGTTTGATGGTAATTGATTGGAATAATGGTAGTTGATGGTAGCTGATGGTAATTGATGGTAATTAATGTTTGTTGATGGTAATTGATTGGATTGATGGGATTGATGCTAGTTCATGGTAGTTGATGGAATGGGTGGTAGCTGATGGTAATTGTTGGTGATTGATGGTAGATGGTGGTGGTTGATGGTAGTTGGTGGGATTAGTGGGGTGATGGTGGTGGGATTGGTGGGATTGATGGGATTCTCATGGTAGTGGCTCGTAGTTCTCAGGGCAGTGATTTCCATGGAAATTGTTATGGTAATGATATTGGTAGTTGTCATAATGATGTCTTATGGAAGTAAATCATGGTAGTATCTCATGGTGTTAAGTCATAGTTCCATTCTGATGCTGGTGGTAGTATGTCATGGTAGTGCTCATGGCAGTGGTCATGGTAGTATGTCATGGCGGTGGTCATGGTAGTTTGTCATGGAAATACTTTATGGTAGTATCGCATGGTAGAATGGATGGTATTGATGGTAATATTTCATCAATAAATATCATGGCGATTTTCAATATCATCTCATGGCAGTTTCTCATGGTAATATGTCATCGTACTATCACGAAATACTCTTGCCGGTGCTCATGGTGGTACTCATTTGTCATGGTAATGTCACGGCAGTATCTCATAGCGTTTCTTATGGTAATATTTCACGGTATTTTCTCATAAATATCATGCCAATTCCCAATATCATCTCATGGTAATATCTCATGAATATCATGGCAATTCTCATGATATCATCTCATGGCAGTATTTCATGAATACCATGGCAATACTCCATGGTAGTAACTCACTGTAGTTTCTCATAAATCTCAAGGCCTTATCCCATGCAATATCTCATAATTCTCAATAAAATTCTCATGGGAATTCTCATGGCAATTTTCATAGCAACATCTTATGGAAATATTTCATCGCCACATTTAGCGATATTATCTCACAAATGTAATGGTCCTATTTCATAATATTGTCTCAGAATCGCATGACAACTCCCCTGGCCATTCTCATGTCACTTAGATTTCTCATTGTAATATTTTATAGATCTCATGGTGATACTCATGGTAATATCTTATAGATCTCAGGGTGGTGGTCGTGCTATTTGTCATAGTGGTATCTCATGGTAGTATCTCATGGCTGTATTTCATGGCCTTATCTTATGGTAGCATTTCATAAATATCATGGTACTATCTCATGGCAACATGAATCTCATGAAAAGATCAAATCTATCTCATGAAAAGATCAAAGTTATCTCATGAAAATTCTCATGAAGACATCTCATGGCAATATCTCTCATAGAGATTCTCTTGTCAGTATTTTATAGCAATATTTCATGGAAATCTTCTTGGCAATCTTCATGGCAATGTCTCATGACATTATCTCAAGAATGGAATGGCAATGTTTCATAGAAATACGTCATGGCAATTATCATGGTGATATCATATGGTGGTATCTCATGGTAATTGTCATGGTATTATCTCATGGTATATCTCATTGCCACTTTTCACAATAATATCTCACAAATTTGGTCTTATCTCATGATATTATCTCACTAATCTCATGACAATTCCAATGACATCTCTCATGGTAATATCTCGTGGAAATATCGGATGGCAATTCTCATGGCAATTCTCATGGTAGTTATTATGGTAGTTCCCATGGTGACATCTCATTATATTATCTCATAGATCTCATGATGGTGCTCATGGTATCATTTCTTGGTAATTATCATGGTAATTTTTATGGTAATCGTTATGTCAGTATCTCATGGCAATAATCATGGTAATATCTCATGGTAATATCTCATGGTAATATCTCACGGCGATATCTCATGGTCAGATCTCATGGTCAGATCTCATGAATATTAGGGTACTATCTCCTGATTGTATCTCATAATTTTCTTGGAGGTGCCCAAGATGGTACTCATGAAAATTGTCATGGTGATATCTTTTTTTTTGGTAGATTCAACTGATTAAAGGGGCAAAACTATATAAAGAATATATATAAAAAGCCTTTAAACAGCTCCCAGCAGCGTACCAAGTGTCTTAGCTCGGCCCGTCCCCTTCCGTCAGTCACGGCCCAGACGGCCCTCATGGCCCGTATTTGTTTACGTATTGGATATTACGTCATCAAATCCTAGGATAGGTCTCCTGTAGTGGTAGCTTCAACTCCGATGGTTGTAGCGGCCTTAAGGAGCCAACTTCCTGCGACTCGCCACGCCTTCTGATTTAAACCTTGAAAATCGTGATCTCATAGATCTCATGGATATTCTCATTACAAATCATGGAATTTTTCATGGCCAATGATATTATCTCTAGAATGGGAAGAAATTCTTATTACCATATCTCGCAGCTCTCATAACCCTCACGGCGATTTAAACGCTACCCGGTTATCCATGCTATCCTTGCGACACTTCTGAGTCAGGTCGACGATTTGTGAAATCTCATATTCACTGTTACTCCTTATTGCTTCATTCCAGCCTTGGACCCTGAAAATTATCCGACACGAAATCTCTCATTCGGGCGCCGCTCATAGGCCTAAGCCTGCTGGACTCTTGACCTGACATCTGAAATCCAAGATCTCGATATGGCCGCCTGGAAGGCCAGAAGTAGGGCATCGAGGGCTCGTGTATGACAAGGGAATGACGCTGCTCAAAAGTGAGCTACAATCTCGGTTTTGGTACATTCATCTATAAGGAGCAAACCGCAGAAATCTTGATACTACCCTTCTACCATTTCCAACACATCCAAGAACACGAAAAATACCCATTCAAGTCCCGACCTTGACTTGTCTCACGGTAAGCATGCTAAAAGCATTTTCAAGCTGAGATTGAGGCGTTGCAGGCAATGAAGGATTTGTAGGCTGACTTCTCCGGCATTCTGAGTGGTCCACAATTGTCTTTGTGTGATTTGTATTCGCTTGATGAATGTGGGAGGATATTGATTTTGAAGAGTCAAGAGGGACCCAGGTTTCGTCTTGATTCTTGTATCAGTGCTATACCGCATGTGCTTGCAAAGATGCTGTAACTCATTTTCTCCTAATAATTCTTTTGGCTTAGGATTGATAAAGATGCCGGTGGAGTTGGTGAACCCTGGCTCTGCTGAACTAAAATATAGTTTTCCGTCTGCTTCTTTGACGCAGTCTTGAATTTCGGTGATTTTCTTCTGACGCTGGGATCCCTGAATGAATAGTACATTGAATTTGGCGGGTATGTTTGCCACTTGTGCTAGTCTTTTAGTCTTTTGTAATGAATGAATTTCTTCCTCCCTTGGAGGCTCGCTCTATGATGGACGCATCTACACGAAGCAGGAATTGTACAAAGCGCTTATAACAGTGCCACGACACCGGGTCCAGTCGGATTACAATATTCGGGAATGGAACAATACTGGCCAAACTCCTCTTCATAGATCTACATCTTAATCGATTCTTACGTTACCAAATAAACCGATCGTAGCACGAACCGCCAACAAAATAATTATCTCGTATACGTCTTGTTGAGGAAACTTTCCCATCCAATTCTTCCTGATTAATAAAAGACAAAAACCGGCGCTTCAAGCAAGATATCAATGAGGGGCAAAAATATTGACTCCGGCGTGATTCGAACACGCGCATCTTACGATAACAGAACTTGAGTCTGCCGCCTTAGACCGCTCGGCCACAGAGCCTTTGATGGAGTTTAAATGGTACCGTCTGGATATTATTCTTAGCCGGAGCCTTAGAAGGTCAATAAATCTTACCATGGGATACTAGAACAGTCTAGGCGAGATAGATCGCCTGATACGGGTTAGTACGTTGGATCGAAGGATAAGAGCCGGCCATGAATGGATTAGCCGTGACTAACGGAAGGGGACGGGCCGAGCTAAGACACTTGGTACGTAGCTGGGAGCTGTTTAAAGGTTTTTATATATATTCGTTATATAGTTTTGCCCCTTT